CAATTCCCCCCCCCCCCCGGCCTCTTAAATAACCTAATAGTGTTGCTAGAGGCGTTGAACCCATACCCTTTCTCTCCCCCAGGGTTTACAAGACGACTACAAACGGTTCATGGACTACACAGACGGCCGCTTCCACTCGGACTACCTGATGAGGCTGAGACACCTGGGCATGAGGCTGGCAGAGAAACAGATCTCCACAGTCACGTATGAGGACATCGAGCCGCTCACCCACAGCAAACAGTTGAAACACGCGCACGCGTCGTGACAGAGGACTCATGAACTTCCTCTCATAGCGTGATAGTAATGGTATATATGTGCGGCAGCGTGGTGGAATCAGGCTCTCGTCAATTTTTGGGCATGTAGAGTTATTAGTATTATCTTAAAGCTTGTTCGCCTGTCTATTTGGATAAAAAATTATCCATTTATCTTGAATACAAGTCGAGATATTTGCGAATGAAGGAGGTGGGGGTCACCTGTTTTCAGGGGTAAAATTGGTGAGAAAATGGCCGCCAAAGATTAATTATTTTCTTAGCTGAAGAGCCTGTAGTAACTGAAAATTTACATTTTTGTGCCTTTAATCAAGGTTTTTCGAAAAAAAAATCCACACAGAAATGACTTCTTTACCTGGCATGAAAGGTGTTGAGCCAAAAAACAAAAACTTGATAAAAATTCACAAACCAACAGAAAAAAGCAAGTTTCTTCACTTTGATTATTTTGACGAGAGCCTGATTCCACCACGCTGCCTCACATATGTACAACAACAGCCGGGCACAGTTACACCAAAGAGGCTATACAGTACACAGAGTTTCTGTGTTCCAAGAATCACTGTCAACAGCATTACTACTGTAACAACGACCAATCTCCACAGCTTATTTGAAATAAATGTCAATGATTATATTAAGGAAAGAATTGTGTTATTTATTTATTTATTTATTAGTTTATTTATTTATTTATTTTTGCATCGTAAAAAGAGAACATGTATTGTCCTTTACAAAGATCGGCAATGAATAACACAGTCATGTTTTTGTTTTTGTAAAGTGTTTTACGGCGCTCGCAACTGATTAAGGTCATATGAGCGCGCCGGACACACCTAATATTTTCAGTTGGTAGGAAATTTTGAATTTTGCCCGGGTGGCGGCCGAAGCCTACCCTTATCGATTTTAGACCACCAAGGGATCTTTAACGCGCGCACTTGCACACGGGCCCTCCGAGATTTTTCGCCCTTGTCCGAGAAGGCTAGGTGCAGATCTTTCCTACCAGAAGATCAGGGGTGTGGCAGAAAGACAGCAGAAAGGAGGAGCCAAGGAGTAACAGTAGAAAGGCTGCAGAGGGAGTAAGGAGCCCAGAGGAGGGGGCAAAGGAGGTGAGGGGGTGGGGGAAGAAAGTGGAAATGAAAGCAGACAACAGAACATTGCTAAAGAGCAGGAAAGGAGGTGAAAGGAGACAATTTTAGAGAAGACAATTTTTTGGTCGCTACCCGGATTCGAACCCGGGACCTTTGAATAAGAGGCCAACACCTTAACCTCTAGGCCACGAGAGCCCCCTTAACACAGTCAGTCATACACTAAAGGGGTGCTCAAACTAAAGAAGAAGAAAAAAGTGACAGTACCTGCAAGAAACCATTCCGCCAGTTGTAATTTCACTACACTTACCACGATCTTGTGTGCGTCATAAATATATTTTTAAAAGTATCTTTGTTCAGATCAAGGTTTTAGAACCTCCATATGTAGCCTATATAATTTATTGATGATGATAATAATGAAAAAGTCAACGATGTCTCAATCTAACAACTTTTTACATCCCATGAATGTATTTTAGCATTCTGAACATTTGTTCATATTTCGAGAGTAAAAGTTGTACTGGTACCTGATCATCTCAACTTGTAAATTTAATAATAATAATTGCATTTATATAGCGTATATCAATGCTCAAAAGCATGCCCTATGCGCTTTACAACTATTATTACCCCAGCAGACCCTCGCTGAGAACACTCAGTAACATTCTCGGCTTTTGAGGAAGCATACGATGCAAGCTGCGGATTTCACGCGCTCAAACACTATCAAACTGACAAGATCGTTCACTGTCTATAGCCGGGTACCCATTTCCACTTGGGTGAAAGGAAAATTTGTGCAAAGTGCCTTTCCCAAGGACACAACGTCGGGCCCCTGACGGGATTCGAACCCACGACCTTACGGTTGCAAGTCCAAGAGCCTAACCACTAGGCCACCGACGCCACAAATTAAAAAAATACAACAACAACAAAAACCCAGCAGGCTACAGGTATAATTTGGGGTATTGTGGTGAAAGCAGGTGCTCGTATCAAATTCATGAAATCGAAGAAACCGACATTTCTTCGATCATTGTGTAATTTTTATTGGTTAACTAAACACCACAAGTTCTAAACAGCTCATCAGGGATTCGGACTAAGGTCCAGCACCCCACAGCCCAGCATGACACAAACTAAGTTTTAGTAGTAGAGGTTTTACGGCGCTCGCAACTGCATAAGGCCATATATGAGCGCCAGAAGATTAGAGGTGTTACAAGAGAGTAACAAACATAAAAATGAAGAAGGGGAGATAAGGACGATAGATGTTCGATAGGAAAGAAGGAGCAAACCACACCAGAGCACCCGCCAACCACCCACTAGAGAGACAAACTAAGCTCATTTTAAAGTTTTAATAAGAGTTTTACTGCACTTGCAACACAATAAGGTCATACAAGTGCCGAAGATTAGAGGTGTTACAAGAGAGTAACAAACATAAAAAAGGAGGAGAGATAGAATAGAGACAATAGTTGTTAGATAGGAAAGAAGGAGCAAACCACACCTGAGCACCCGCCACCCACCCACAACTAAGCTCATGGAATACCTATCCATGGTCAAAGCAGCAAGGTTCGAGCCTCAGCTCGGTCCGACATTGTGTCCTTGGGAAAGTCACTTCACACAAAATGCCCATTTGGCTCTGTCCTTTGGGAGATGGATCTTAACTTAGAGGTTCCGCCTCTTAAATAACCTATTAGTGTTGATAGAGGCGTTAAACCCATACCAATTCGCCATTTTTTAACCCTATCCGTACGTCGTGTTTTATTATCGTATCCATACGACGAGGGGAACTCTGTGCCACCACTTTCCAAAGAGGAAATTTACTTGTTAATCCATACGCTTTGCACAGCAGTCTGTCAAAATGAATTTTTGAGAAATACTGAAAGTTTCAAAGAAATCTTCGTACTAGGGGTATTCTAAAATGAGAAGAATACAATCCCGGTGGTATAAAATGATAGTGTTAAACAGCAAATTTCACTCGTTTACATGAAACTCAGCGTGCCTAACAAGCAACCTTTTCAGTGCATATCATCATCATTATCATTGCCTTTCTCACCCTGTATCAGGGTACAGGCCACTAACAACTTTCCACCTTTCTCTACCCTCAGCTAGCCTCTTGATGTTATTCCATGTCTTCTCACTTTCTTTTCAGCGCATATACACACCAAATGAAAACTCAAAGTTTCAGGAATTTTGTCAACAACTTTATTCATTCAAAAAATGACGCATGAACAATGAGAAAATGAATGTCACATGGGCAGAAAATGTGTTATATATCTGACGCAACCCATTCTCTCAAACAAAAAACCCTTTCCACACCAACATACACACCAATACATGACTTCAATCAGATGAATCAGCCAAAGTCTAAGTATCTTTCACAATACGTATACAACTAAAAAGTACAGTTGGCTTTGTTTAAAACAAAATTCCTGTCACCTAAAAAAGGATTTCACCCCCCCCCCCCCCTCCATCTTTATTCTACGCATTGCAACTTCCCTTAACACCCTCACACGAAATTTGTTGAACACAAAAAAATTCTCTTTCTTTAATTCTCTTTCTTTACCACAAAGAAATTCTCTTTGTTTAACTCAAAGAAATTCTCTTTGTTTACTCAAAGAAATTCTCTGGTTCTCTGATGTTTGTGTTATAAGGGTTTACTATTTATAGAACTTGTTTTGGAGCAACATCTCACAGCAGAAAGGAAAGCGAAAGTGACAATACTGTACTGCATTCTATTTCCCAAAGTCAAAAGGTACAACTATCACAATTATTTTTTCTAAATGCCAACAAATGTCAAAAACATTTTACAACTCTTCATGAACTGTTTTTATTCTCTTTTTTCCCCCATTTAAATCTTGGCATTTCTTCTGCAGTCTGTGTGACAAATATGGATTGAGTGGCTTCCACCCACCTGCATCCCAGGAGAAAGACAGACACGAGACAAAATACTTCCCGCACATACAGTACAGTAATGAACTTGCATACTTTTTGCAAGGCATAAAGACTAGCCGTTATATCATAGCTGCCATCAGTACAGTAATAATATCCCTAACCAGTAAACACATAGACAGCTAAGGATAGACGCACAACACAGCAATAAAAAGTGTTTTGTTTGTCATGTAAGAGTTTTACGACGATCGCAACTGCATAAGGTCACATGAGCACGCAAAACACAAGTTGGTCGCGTTCACAACAGTTCACAGAATGGCTTGATAAAAGAAGTGCAAAGCAGACAAAATCTTTTAATTCTGGCAGACGGCTTGCGACTCATCCCAGCCACTTCTTGTGTCCCATTCTTCTTCTGCATAAATTCTTGCAGGTGGATAAAGGGTGGCATCGGTATGTACTACTTCTTCTATGACCTCCCTCTGTCATTTCTGTCTCGGTCTCACTCCTAACTACCTCTAAATGCCAGGCGTGCTGACAAAATGAGTTACTAGTCGCAATCCACAAATCGATAATATACAGTCGAACCTATGTAAGACGGCCACTCATTGTCAAGGAGAAAAGTAGGGGTATAAGACAGGTGGCCGTCTTAGGCAGGACTGATCAAGATGAAGAAAACAAACCATTCTTTTCTGAGGTCCCAACCGAAGGTAGCCGCATTGTTGTTGTTGTTGTTATTGTTGTTGTTTTCGCTTGGGTTTTTTCTTTCTTTTATTGCCGCTTTTGTGCATCGGCGACAATAAAGCGAAATGTGTCAGACAGGGAGGACCGAGTGCCAAGGTAGAGCAAACACATAGGTAGCCATCACTCGGAGAACGAGCGACGCTGCTGTCGCAAGTTCATGTTGACGTCCATTGTTACTTTGTTACAGACTGGGGAAACAGTGACCGCTCATCTCACTTACGATTTGTGTATGAGTTCTTGGCGGGCTTATGGGTTATGAAGGATCACACGCTCACCTCACCAGCAGCTGAAGATTTGTTACTGATTGGTCAACAGTGGGAGGGGCCAACACAACAGGATCGTACGGAGGGACTACCTAACAATAACGACAGGTGATTGGATTATGACGGCTCGCCCACAACGCCAGGGGCCAATGCACAATTTATGACCAAACGTAAAGGAGTCAATAAAGTGGCCGCCTGAAACAGGTGTTATAGCTTGGTGTGATTGGGGTTGTGTGTACTGTTAAAATATGGTGACTGTGGCCACATTGGACAGGTGCCCGTTTTACACAGTTAAATTATATAGAAAAAACGCAAGGGGGGAAATGGAAAGTGGCCGTTTGTGCAGGTGGCCGTCTTATAGAGGTGGCAGTCTGGGCAGGTTCGACTGCATTTGCCAAAAATCAACACTAGGGTAAAATTTATCGATTTTCTATTGATGCCATATTCTTAAACTATTCCTTTTATTATTTCATACTTATAAATTGTAAAAACTTCATCTATAAGTGTGATGTATCTATGTCCATCAGGCTTGAATCCGAGAAGTAACTCATTTTGTCAGCATACTTCACAAATGAAGAAACACTGTGTAGATCTATGTGCTTCTACTTCTATTTATTCAACCTGGCGCTCAACAACGCTCTCACTCAACACTCAACCAAACGATCATTTGACATTACATACTCCAGCCAACAGTGCTATCAACCTTTGCAAGCAGGAGCTGCCTACATATCCAAATAAAAACAGCAGGCTCTGCTACTTTAGACTTTTCCGTCCTTTGCTTCAGATCTTTCAAACAACTAAAATGGTAACAGAACAAAAAACAAACAAAACAATCCAAAGCACTGAACAATAAGCAACCATAATAAAAAAACAAAACACCACTCTTCCCAACATAAGTACCGTAAAATATCATACTCTCCATCGGAACACACACAGGCATAACTTGTACCCTTGACCCCCCCCCCACCTCCTCCCCCCTCCCCCCACCCGAGCATTAGTCCCTCACTACTGGTTGTCCATGTCGTCGGCGTCTTGGAACTGTCCCTCCTGCTGCTCCATGCCCTCCTGGTCACTGGCGTGTCCTGCTCACAGAGACGGGAGTTAGTTTTAGTCAGAGTTTTACGGCATTTGCAACACAATAAGGTCATAGAAGTAAGCGTTGAAGATTAGAGGTGTTACAAGAGAGTAACAAACATAAAAAATAAGGAGGGGGAGATAGTTTTAGTTTTAGTAGAGATTTTACGGCACTCGCAACTGCATAAGGTCATAGGAGCGCCAGAAGATTAGAGCTGTTACAAGAGAGTAACAAACATAAAAAAGAAGAAGGGCAGATAAGGATGATAGATGTTTGATAGGAAAGAAGAAGCAAACCACACCAGAGCACCCGTCAACCACCCATGGAGTAGAGATAAGGATGATAGATGTTTGATAGGAAAAAAGAAGCAAACCACACCAGAGCACCCGCCAACCACCCATGGAGGAGAGATAAGGACGATAGATGTTTGATAGGAAAAAAAGAAGCAAACCACACCAGAGCACCCACCAACCACCCATGGAGGAGAGATAAGGATGATAGATGTTTGATAGGAAAAAAGAAGTAAACCACACCAGAGCACCCGCCAACCACCCGCAGAGAGATGGAGAGAACCAGAACAAGTTGTATAAATATCAAAAGGGGGACAAGAAAAGCTCCCCTCTTGTTGCGTCACCTCTTGAGGGCCCAAAGTTAGAAAGTCAACACTGAATCGAAGCACACAAACCCCCCCCCCCCCCCCCACCACAAACAAACCCCCCCCCCCAAAAAAAAACAACACCCCCCCCCCCCCCCCCCCCACAACAACAAACAAAAACAGGGAGGCATGAAAACAAAAAGCAACAACCAGGAGCCAGGGAGCCATAAAAACAAACCTAAAATAAAATAAATAGAGGAGTATAATGTCCCATGAGAAACAATGAACTCACTGACACCCGCTGACAGTGACAGGCATTTTATGGCTGAATGTCTGAAGAATGCCAGGTGTTTTGCCTCCCTATTCAAATGAAATAAATCATTGTGACCGTATCATTCATCACCCAACAATGAAACAGCGTGAAAAAAGACAATAAAACATAATGAAAAAGAAATTTTTAAGACATCTTGAATGGTTATACTTTTTAAAAAATGATCTTTTGCAAAAGTGTAAAAATTTTGAAGAAAAAAAATATAATAAAAAAAAGAACTAGGCCTTGATCTAGATCGTTAAGTTCACTGTTACGAATCCCTACAGACTTCCACTAGCCTCTAATAAACTCTACTTCCACTAGCCTCTAATAAACCTTCCACTAGCCTCTAATAAACTCTGCTTCCACTAGCCTCCCATAAACTCTGAATCCTCTTCCCTTCTAATAGCTTGGGGCAGTAGCGCCGACATCTTCTTCAGCACTACAAAAGTCTAGATCTGACGCGGCCTAATCAGTTTGAAAATGTTGCGAGGTTCGCCCGACATTGTGCCTAAATGCGTTTCCGCATCACTATCAAGGGATGTAACTCAAACATTGTTCAGCATCACTATCAAGGGACGTAACTCAAACATTGTTCAGCATCACTATCAAGGGACGTAACTCAAACATTGTTCAGCATCTTTCACGCGCTCAAACACTATCAAACTGACAAGATCGTTCACTGTCTATAGCCGGGTACCCATTTCCACTTGGGTGAAAGGAAAATTTGTGCAAAGTGCCTTTCCCAAGGACACAACGTCGGGCCCCTGACGGGATTCGAACCCACGACCTTACGGTTGCGAGTCCAAGAGCCTAACCACTAGGCCACCGACGCCACAAATTAAAAAAAAAACAACAACAAAAAAACCCAGCAGGCTACACGTATAATTTGGGGTATTGTGGTGAAAGCAGGTGCTCGTATCAAATTCATGAAATCGAAGAAACCGACATTTCTTCGATCACTGTGTAATTTTTATTGGTTAACTAAACACCACAAGTTCTAAACAGCTCATCAGGGATTCGGACTAAGGTCCACCACCCCACAGCCCAGCATGACACAAACTAAGTTTTAGTAGTAGAGGTTTTACGGCGCTCGCAACTGCATAAGGCCATATATGAGCGCCAGAAGATTAGAGGTGTTACAAGAGAGGAGTAACAAACATAAAAAAGAAGAAGGGGAGATAAGGATGATAGATGTTTGATAGGAAAGAAGAAGCAAACCACACCAGAGCACCCACCAACCA